GATGGGTGGGGATTATATTATGTGCATCGAGATGATCGAGAATCTGTGTATAAGTTACTCGTTCTAAAATTTTAGACATTATTGGCAATATGCTTATTGGTCTGAGGTCAGCGATGGATATCGGATTAGACAATTTTGGCAGAGGAGTCACCAGAGCTGTCTTCCAAAGGACGGGAAAGTATCCAGTTTCCAAGCAAATATTAATAATATGTAGCAGATGAATGCCAATTACTGGAAAGCATAACTTTAACATTTGTAACGTGATACCATCCGTTCCAGAAGCATTGGATTTTATACTGCAGATAACAGTTTTAATCACATCTAAATGAACTAGCTTAAAAGAAAATGAATTTCTTTGCAAAAAGTTATTTGTTCTGTAGTAAAGTATTTTTTCAAAGCACGCTTCATCACTGTTTTGAAAAACTGAGGTAAAGTATTCATTGACTTTGTAAGGGTCTGTGAGTGTTGATGGGATTTCAGAAGATTTAATTGCTTGAACGCGCATATTTCTTAAAGATTTGTATAATAAAGAGGAATTTCTCTGATTTTGTAAATGATCCAAAAAGGCAGACTTTTCATTCCGTAACGACTGTAATGCATAATTTCTCAAAGATTTGTAATTATTCCAATTTTGAACAGACGGATTGCTTTTAAATTTAGACAGCGCTTTATCTCTTTCCTTGAAAATTAACTTCAAATTGGCGGTCAACCATGGTGCTTTCGGTCTAGTGACACGCACTGTCCGAATTGGGCAATGTAAATCAAAGATGGCATTGATGTTGTCAGTCAAAAATTTCAATTTGGTTTCAACGTCACTAAAGTATAAGACCTGCTCCCAGTTCATTTGATGTAAGTCTCGGTTGAAGTTATCTAAGTCGAAGTGTTTATAGTCTCTGAAAGTCACATACTTATGTACTTTATTTAAACTACAAAGTAGGTCACAGAAAACCATTTGATGGTCACTAATGATATCAGCGTTGATGGTACCCTTGTTACCGTAAACCTCAACATCAGACAGAAATATGGGATCCAAGAGAGTGCTACTTGTCTCAGTAATACGAGTGGGATCTTCGATAATTTGTGTAAAGCCATATGATTGAAAACATTCACTGATTTTATTTTTGATCAATAAGTTAACGTTTAGATCACCTAACATGAATAAATTGTCGTATGTAGTTACTAGGCCAGGTAGCAAATTATCGAGACATTCGATAGCATTCAAAACACCCAGGGAGTAACTACAGTGACCAATTTTAAATTTAATGAACATATGCTCCAAGCAAGCATCTGTGTAAGAAGTAAGTACCTCGAACTTGATGTTGCTTCTAATATAAATACCGACACCCCCACCACGGGATGGCCTATCATTTCTACAAAAGCTGAAGCCAGGGATATTAACAGTTTCAGAGCTAGTACATTCGGACAACCAAGTTTCCGATACAGCAACTATATCTAATTTTTTTTCAAAAACTAACTCTACAAAATCGGCAAAATTGGAAAGTAACGACCTTACATTTATGTGAGCTATTCTAATATATTTTTTATGTTCCATAATTGATTTTAGATTTAAGATTATTTATGTAATGTTGTAACACCAAGCAGGAACCTTCGTCATTCGACGAATGGCAAACATCATATTTAGTTTTATATTTTTCGTTACTTTTAACACAATTAATGCACTTAAGGACTTCGGACGAGCATTCTTTATACCGATGTTCACAGCTGCATGAAGAACACACAATGGACGACTTACAGTCTTTTTCAAGATGACCTATTGCACTGCACTTGAAACATCGCACCACTCTAACATGGTCAGCAACGAAGCATTTGCTGAATCCGACATATACATATTGACGTGACATAAAGAGACTTCTCACCTCAGGTGACACCTCAAGTACCAAATGTGTAGCGTTAGGGTAGTTTAATTTCGTTACAAATTGAATTTCACGATTTTGTAGATCTTGAAGGTCATTAATAGATGAAATATTGTCAATAATGTCAGCGACACTGGAGTTTTCAGGAATCTGAATATTTTTAACCATAATTCGGGGATTATACAGCTTAGTATTACTAACTTCATATTTCCTTCCTAATTTGTTAGAAACATGTTCCTTTAGTTTTCCCAACGATTTGTCATCATGGCAGCAAGTAACTACACCATTGCGAATTTTCTTGATACCACTTAAACACAGTTGAAGATCCTTGGGGTTAATATTATTTTTAATATCATTCAACACGTCAGTATTAGATATCGAGTTATTGTTCGATTTAACAATAATCCCAGCTGATGATAGTATGTGTTTATTTTGACTTTTTTTGGCTGTGCTACAAGAAACAGTACCTGTGTTTGCCTGGTTAAGAAATGGTCCCCTTGTTTTTGCAGCGTAGGATGATAATTCACTGCTTGTAAATGATAATTTTTCCTTGAGGAGCTCATTGTTGCATTTTAATTCACTGTTAAGATTCACTAGTAACTCTTTCTCACGATTGAGGCATTCTACTTCATGACGAAGCACTATAACGTCAGTCGCTGGAGTATTAGGTGTCGACTTGCACTTTATGGTACAACCTTTGCACCTCCAATTTTTCCTTTCGGTGAAGAATAATTTAGCGATATTCTCAAAACATTTTGTATGAAGAGATATACTGCAATTTTCTGCATCGCACGTAATACCACCCGATTTACGTATTTCATCGCCACAAATTTCACAGATTTTGTCGCCCCGGCTCAAAGCGACATCTGCACCGGCCGGCATCTCCGAGCGGTATCGCGTATTACTTCTTTTTCCTTCTCTTCCTCTCCTTCTGAATGATGTTGATTTTTATTTTTTTTCTTACACCTTGACTCATATCAAATGCGCTACTGTTTTGTTCTTTTTCTTGCCTTCAGCCTAGTTATATCCTACTGCTTTGTTCTTAGCGCCCTGCGGATACTGACTCGTGCGACTTTTACAATTTGACACAAATGTCACAGAATATATGGGTCAAAATGGTTAAAAAACCATTCTGCGGCTCCAGAGTACACCACCAACAGTTCCACGGACGCGATTCTTTCTGATATCGAAGTGAATGCTACTGCTTTAAATTATCTTCAAGTCTTGTGTGAGATATTCAGGTATTTATAGCGATCGAAATGACTGATGTGATCTATACTATACGTTTATGTATAGTATATATATATATATATATATATATATATATATATATTTGTATCTTATGATAACCTGTTCTCGTCAAACCGCAAAATACAATTTTGATAAGCATGTAAAACACGTTATTTACTTACTAAGTTCTTTTAAAAATAGTCAAAACTCATGCACCCAACGTTTGCGCGCTATATAGTCTCACTAACACAGGCCAAATTCTATACCCTGGCCTTTCGTTCTAAAAAGGGCGTTCTGTCGGGTGACCGTCATTATAGACATTTTTGGGTTTTCGCAAAAAGCCTACCTAAAATAGATAGAAGGAAATCTGTATATCCTTGAAGAAGCGATCAACACAACAGGCAGCACGATTCAGTCACCACTAAAACCTAGAATTATGCTGAACTATTATTAGATCTAATAATTTTATGTAAAGATTCAAGGATTTTCATGAAGATCAAAGGATCCTCACGATGATCCATAGATATCAGAGCGAATTACATTTTTTGTGTCAAAAAGTGATGCCACTATATAGTTGTCCACCCGACACAATCGAAAACTATTGTTGGTACTTTGGCACGTATGGCTAGATGTAGACTTGCACGAGTATTAATAGTCCTTCCGTCTATATTGCTAATTTTGAACTTGAATATTCAAAGAGTAAGCGTTTCGATCAACGCCTGTGCGTTATATACGTATAATAATAATTCTATACTTTTATAACTAACACTGAATTTTCGTACTGATTTAATTACCAGGTAGGTTAAGCCTGATTTCAAAACACTCAGAATTAGGCATTTGTTTTTTCAGATGACGATTAACCCACCTAAAAATCATACCAAAGTCTAAATTCTGACTTTGACACCCTGTAGTGTGAGAAAGTCGTATATCACCACTGTGCAGATAAGCTAAAATGGTAATTACCAATTTTCAAATGGTTATTCGCACTCTGCTTTACACTGAGTGCCAAAAAAGGTAAACACCTACGTACGTTTATCCGATTTTTATAATTTTTGACATATATGTTCAGTGCCCTTACTAGTAAGACGATTAAGTTTCCAGCTTGATTCGTCAACTGACTGCAGAAGCTGGTACAATAATATGTCGAGGATCCACGATTGATCCACTGATTGACACGCCTGGGCATCGTGCTGATAAGGTGGTCGATATCCTGTTGGGGTTGGGGTTAAATTAGAGATGTGGGCGATAAGAAAAAAGGCAAAGAGAAACACGATGGTTGTTTCTGGGGACTTCAACATGAATGTTGACCCATTGAATATACATTCATCAGCAAGGAAACTTGTTACAATTCTGAAATCGTTCAATATGGAACAACAGGTGTGGGATTACACTAGAATTACCAATAACTGCAGATCGATCATCGACAATAGTTTCTCCAATATACCCCCCACCTTCTGCAAAATGGTTAACTGTAACTTATCAGACCATAATATGCAGATCGTAGGCTATAATTTAGGAAGTAGTAGCCCTCAAACACAAATTGTTTATCACAGCAAACGCCATTTCAATGAACCTCAAAATATTGAAATGTTCAAAATGTTTTTTCAAGAAACAGACTGGTATTTTTTGTCTGATGAACGGCTTGACTTTGATTCAAAGGTTAATATGTTCCATGATATATTCATGCAAACCTTTGATAGATGCTTTCCTGTAATGCTAGTCAAAAGTAAGCATGAAACTTCTCTAAATTGTAAGAATTGATGGATAACCAAAGTATTGATTGACGAAAGTAAGTTTTTAAGGGAGTTACATTTTGTTACAACAAAAATAAATAATGCTACCGAGTTGACGAATAATTAAATAATGTAAAAGATATTATTGGAAAAAAACGAGACTACTATGATAATAAAATTGCCAATTCAAAACATACAAAAAAACAAGTTCCTGAGATTATTTCTGATAACGATGGAAATGTTTTCTCTGCGTCATCCAAGGAAGCTGCTGACGCGTTTAATAACTTCTTTATAAATTCTGTATCAGAACTGACTAGGTGTATGACTTTCGGTGGGCAGCACGAACCAATTCCAATCAATACAAATTCCATGTTTTTAAGCCCAGTTACTGAAGATGAAGCTGTTGAGCTGTTAAAACATGTTGCAAAAAAAAGTCAGCAGGCTTTGATGAAGTACCTTGCTCATTCCTATTGAATGTCATAGACTCAGTTGCAAAACCTCTAGCACCACTGTTAAATCTGTCTTTTGCAGGAGGCATATATTTCCTTATAAGCTGAGAGAAAAACTTGTTATACCAATCTATAAAAAAGATGATATTACTAACATGGCTAATTGTAGGGGCATTTATTGGTTATCCGTATTCGCAAAATTCTTCAAAAAGGCTTATTATAATGAACTGATAAAATTTGCTGACAAATTCAATATCATCAACAGGTACCAATTTGGATTTCAAAAAAACCTATCTACAAAAGATGCAGTACTGTCTGTGTGACTTCGCCTTAACACGCCTTGAAAAGAAAGATAAAACGTATTGTCTCTTTATAGATTTAAGCCGCGTTTTCGATACTCCTTTAATCAAAAAGCTTAATAAGTACGGAGTCAGAGGTACTGCTTTAAATTGGATAGAAAGTTATCTATCCGATAGGGAACAACGAGTTGTCATTAATAATGGTAGATGTAAATTATCTTCTAGCACCAAGGTTGTTTTAACTGGTGTTCCACAAGGAAGCATACTAGGGCCTCTATCGTTCCTGCTGTTCGTTAACGATCCGCACATTTTCATGAAACAGCATTTTATTACATTATTTGCTGACGATAAAACTAAAGATCCAGCTCAGCTCATTACTGAGTCGTCAGTTGCATCATATCACATGGAGAGGTACTGTGTAAGGAATGAACAGAAGACGCAACTGATGCAGTTTTGCTTGCGTGATACAGATTATGATATTGACCTGAAGATTAACGAAACCAGAGTGAACGAGGTCCAGGTCACTAAATTCCTTGGAGTTATGATGGATTCAAGGCTTACTTGTAGGGATCATACTGTCTGTTTAGTCAACAAATTGTCAAAGCATTGCTTTGTGTTATGGAGACTAAGGCAGTTTGTAAGTACTGCGGTGCTTAGGATGTACTATTTTGCTCACGTACAGTCAGCCATGAATTACTGTATCGTTTGCTGGGGTAGCAGTTCACATACATGAGATTTGCTACTTGTGCAGAAGAGCTATTCAAAACTCTCCACGTGATGACTATATATTCTCTTTATATTTTTAACTGTGTTTGTCATGTTCGAAAGAACTTTGAAAAATATGAGTCGCAAGGCAATGTGGAGAGTGGCTGTAATCTAAGGAATACATACTGTCTGCGTTGCCCTCAACATAGCCTTGCTTTATCAGCAAATGGTCCCCACAGAATGCCTATCAGATTGCTCAACAGGTCGCCAATTGTTATCAAAGCTGTCACCAATTTCGATGCTTTCCAACGCCGAGTTTAAAGTCCATTTATGGAAAACCCTTTTTACAGCATTGAGGAATACTTAACATCAGATTTGTGAATTGTACTGTTGCAAACAATTAATTTTTAATCTGTTTCTCAATCTGTTCATCCCTCTATTTTTGTTTTATTTGTTATTTATTCACATCTTTTTAATTTGTTTGTATATGTTGTTATTCTGAGTACATTATGTTTGTATACTTTTAATTTACTTAGTGTTGTTTCGATCACAACTTTTTAGGTATTTTTTTTCTCATTCATCATTCACAATTTGCTGATACTTTTTCAAGTCAAATGGCAATAAAGATATTTATTTATTTTATTTATTTATGACCAGTCGCAGGATTATACTTCAGTTTCTGGGCATCCTGTACACATTTTTTCCTAAACGGAGTCGATTTTTAAAAAAACGTCTGACTTACCAGGGCAGACCCTTGGCATTACACCACCGCCCGTCATTCCAAATAAAAAATAACAAATTCTCGCCTCACAACCATCTCTCACAGACAGGATAGGTGTACGAAAACACGGTTCGCCGTCACATAGCATCGCTATGAATGGAGCAAAGCCCGTTCGTCCTCGACGGGATAGAAAATTGCCCCCGGGTGGGAAGTCATTAGAAGATGAGAAATACGACAGCGAACAAATGCGCCACCATCGCTCTTTTCAGCCTTCTACATGGCAACAATTAAAATAATGAAGCTAAGACATCATACGCGAGTTATGATTTATAGTGGCTGACGGCAAGATTTGATGCGGTTCTGAGGATGCGAGAAGTAGATGGATTGAATGTTTGGAGATACGAGGAAGGGGTATTTTTGGGGACACGATTTGAAATGAATGCCAGGTGTGCTATTTAATGCTTGTAATAAGATACCTTTTGCGAACTCGTTGAAAGGATGCTCCTTCAGTGTTAAGTTATGGAGTGAATTTCAGTGATAATACAATGTAATGAACTGTTATGCTATATATCTGTTGTTAAATAGAAATGCAGCTATCAGGCTAAGCATCTGCACGATACAGTATTCCTTGATGATGTACTAACACTCCATGAAATGATTCAACGAATAATATTTTGACGAACATTTTCTATGAACATGGGACTGCAAGGATTTAATTTTTTCAAGAAAAAGGTCGCTCAGATCGTTTTTTTTGTTTGTTATCTTCAAAAATACTTATACATTTTTATTTTATCACATCATAAGAGGATGCAAAATGACATATTTTAGAATACAAAGTTACTTTATTGAGTAATCAGCGGCGTCCCTGTAAATATGTCTCTTGGTAGTTTTATAGAAAAAATTGTACGCCACTGATATATTTCAAAGTGATTATTAGCAGATATGTTGAGGAGAAAAAAGTAAGGAAGGATTAGTATGTGAGGAAGGTCCAGCTAGCTAGAAAAAACATTGTTCGAAAAATATCAGTAGCGTACCAATTTTTCTTTCAGAAGATAAAACACGACATGTTAGCAGCACACCACTTGAGGCGTAATGCGATAACTTTTTTCCCTAAGTATGCACATCATTGAGGATCACCCTGTACTTCAATCGATTTACTGTTATCGCGCATGCCTAATAATTGTTTTTTGGGATTGAAGCTATAACTTAAGTTATATGCAGTAGCTCCCCATTTTTATATAGGGTGTTCCTTAAATTCGATCTTACCTTTACCGGGCGTATCCTTTTTGTAAAAATTAGCAAATTTTCCCATTAACACAACAGAGAAAAAGATACGACGCGCGTCCGTGTTCCACCCGTCATACAAGTAATTTGAGCTGTTTGCTTATAAATCGGATTTGAAAAAACCGAAAACGGTACACTTCCGTAGCAATAGTAAAATTGTCGGATAAGTTTAAGGTAAGAATTAGAAGAACAGAGCTCCGTTGGTGTATTCAAGGAGTTGTTCTTGACATGCAAATTGATCTGAAATGCTTTTCTCTAAATTTTCGGCAAGGTAAAAATTAAACGACACTACTTTGTAGCAGTTTGCGTACAATTTCTTGGACATCCAGTCCAGTCCAATCCATTGAGAAACCAGAATCAGACTAGAAGCAAAGGTTAGTACAGATGGGTACTTACTACACCAAAAAATCATACTCAGATACAGGTTTATGTTTCTGTAAGTTGTTCTATACTCATTTCTCTATTTGGTGTTCATTTATCAGGCAATGCAGTGCAATTTCAATAATGTGCGGGACGAGGCGGTATGTAACATTTAGTATAAAATGAACAGTGAGTGCTTTATGATTTTTTTTGCTTTTTTGCTACTGCTTGACCACCCACTAATATCGTCATTTCGACACTATTTGTGTATGAAAAAGAAAAGTTTTGAAACATTCCCAATTCATTGCCGTATTTTTTTATACTCGTACTGATATTCGTAAATACTAGAGCTATAACCATGCTAAAACAACCTTACTAACAGAATCTATATAAACGTATCCATGATTTCACCTGTCTATCTCAGTGCTTTATGAAGGTTTTGAGGAATATTCAGTGTCAACCTATACAGACTAATGTTGTATGAGGAAAAAAATTAATTGCAAACTACCATCAAATATGCAGGCTGAATCGATGCTTCAAAGAACTGAAAGGATGAATGCCCTTCCAAGAACTGGACAGATACTCATTTCTCTTTTTTTTCTTCTTGTGACCTTACATTGGAAATTGCATTAAAGCTGAGAGAGAATATTTAATTCATGTGTACGTAAATTTTGAGGAGCATGTTCTGCACCCTTTGTTTATGGTAAATGTAAATATTATATCGCCTAAATTATACATTTATTTCCTGAATTATAACACAATTTATTTAACAATTTCCCGATATCTACTATTTCTGGTAATATTACTTGCTAGAAGTGTGAAACTATACTACTCACCCTGAAACTCCAAATTTCGTACCATAGATGTAGTTAAAATCTTCTGTCTAAATCTGCATCGTCTGAACCTGAACTCAGGAACCACAATCGGAGTAACTACTACAAATAAACTGATCTTATTGCCGACAACTGGCAGATTATCCGTCCTACACATATCATTTCAAATACAAATATCCCGTGATTTCCAATGAAGGTCATAATTTCGTGAGAATTCGTACTCTCGTAGCCATTTCTAGCTACTTGGTTCACATTCTAAATTGCTGCATAGAGACAGGATATTTTCCCCAACTATGGAAAGTCTCGCTAGTTAAGTCACTTCCGTAAGGCAATAATCCATAACAAGATAGTAACTTACCAGTTTCCATAGTATTAGAGACCATAATCCAGAAACAAATTTTAGAGTTTACTTGCACTAACAATATATTGTCTGATGTATGTACTCGTATATGTTGATGACACGACCTAGCGTCATATCTAAAAAATATCAACTACTGTCAAGATTTCTCCAGATCGATTTAAAATGGCTGAGACTAAAATTGATATTTATCTCGAAAGTATTAATAACTATTCTGATATTGATAATATGAAACTAAGTCCTCAAAAATCAAATATATTCGCAAGAAGGAAAAGCAGAGATATCTAAGAGCAAGCCTGGACCTAATAATAGGCAACGCTGGTTTAAAATTCAACGATGTATGTAAAAAATTGGGCCTACTCATTGACGAAGACCTACGTTATTGCCCGCATGTTGAAGACCTCATCAAAATATGCTATTTTATGCTGCTATATGTCAACAGGCAATTTCTCAGTTTTAAAACAAAAAAGCGATTAGGTGAATCATTAATTATTTCCATATATATATTATCCTTGCTTAGATCTTAATATTTGCATACAGACTACAGAAAATTCAAGATTTTTGTTGCCTGTTAACAACCAATCTAAGGATATGATCATGCAACTGGCGCAGTTAAAGACTTAGAATGGCTCAAAATTTATAACTTGTTCAAATATCTTTTTGTCATTTGTAAGATTTATTATCACTACTCACTCACCATTCCGTTTATGGAATAAGCTACTATCTAGAACAAGTATTCATGATTTAAATTTAAGGTATACGAGCACATTATCCATACCAAGACATCACACAGCCATGTTTCAGCACTCTTATTCATATAAGGCCGCTAAATATTATAATCCATTATAGATCAATATTAGGAATACAGCAAATCATCATAAATTTAGTCACTATCTAACCAAAATGTCGTCATTGTTGACGAAAACTCCTATGTGGTTAGAAAATTTGTTTCTATTCCATTCACACCGATTTTTAATAAATCTACAGAATTACTAGAGCTTTTTATTATGGAACTCTTGTACATCAGATCAAGGAGCTCACATTTGAATATATAGATCTTCAGAATGTTCCGATGATATTTTCAATACACAATAAATAACACAGAAATTTTGGCAGCACTTAGCAAATATTGTACAGTAACAAACATTTTTGTAGTTTATATCACTGTATATTCGTAGACTTTTTTATATTTTAAAATATTGGTCGAGAAATTTTGACAGCACTTAATCTTTGTTGAATATATTTTATGTACGCAGTAACAATAAAATTTTAGGAGCGTCAAATACTTTATTTACTCTATCACGTGTACAGTAACAGATAGTTTTATAGTTTATATCACTGTATATACGTAGACTTGTTTATATTTTAAAATATTGGTTGAGTAGATTGGCCAATGGCTAGACTCCGCCACTTGCATAATATTTTTAATGTTATGTTGTAATATTAATAATTCAATACTCACTTACAAAAACCGTCTATTGCTACCTGAAGCCGGCCATAAAACTCTGACGTTCCGGGTAAGCTAGTTCAGCCGTTTGAGCGAGTGACAAGCTTCAAGCATTTACTTTACGACGCGCGGCTTCTGCCGGAAAAAATCACCCCGTAAAATTCATAGCTTCAGCGAGCGTGTCGAAAGGGTCCTGCTCCCTTCTAGGGCCCTTTTCGTCCAAAATAAATGGTACGTTTCGATATAATGGTACAATTAAAAGGAGAGCGGTTGGGGTGACGCGAGTAATAAAGTGGGTCGGAGGTGGCTGAATATGCTCGGTTTTTACGCGGCTCCAGAGGGAGATTTTTCTTGTTTTCTCGACACACGTCGCCTGTGGTACGATCTTCCGCATGGAACATTTCTGCGATCGTGTAAATGTACGGTGAAAAAATCTCACACAATCCTAGAATGTTACTTAAGTAAATTGGTTGCTTAGAAACGAAAATCATGGAATAGCTGTGAATATCCTCCGAGGTTATTGCAATATCAAGAAACCAATCTCCGTAGCACCAGAAAGATTTCGCAGGACACGAAGGTGAGTCGCTGGCCAGAGCCCTACTCTGTCATAAGATGAATATTTATAAATAGGTTAAGACAGAGCTTGAGAACCTAAGTCGGTCAAGTTTAGACAGGGAATTATTCGAATTACACAAATTCTTAATAACGATTCCATAACTTTTGCCTAAGTTCATTGTTCTTCTGTCTGGATTCACGGGCTCATCTAATGTCACTGTTTTGAAGATTTCAAGAATTCAGTGTGCAGATGTTGTTAGTCTTCTAAGATTTAATATTATTTTGCTGATTAATGGCTGTAGTTATCAGCCAGTTTATATAATACCTTCCGAATAAAGGATCAAACTAGCTCGGCAAGGAGATCCTCTTACTAGACTTGGTTAGTGGGTTGAATGCAAAAAGATGAGATTCAAAGACGAGTGTTCCAAAAAATTATTCAAATACTTTGACCGCTTACAGCCGGATTTTCGATATGAACAACTATAAATCTGCTCTATGAATCCCAAGAGCAGTACAATGCAATAAATCAAGCTCCCGAGCAGAGGCAAGATTCGTCTGGCCACAAAGGTGGGTCACTTTCCAACTTAATATTACATATTGCTATCTGGGAAGTGTGGTCAGTTTCCAGAGCAACCGACGTGCCCCATAAATAATTCAGAAGCTCCCCCCTACCCTCCCATCACCCAATCCTCACCTCTGGCCCTCTCCCCGGGGCGCCCGCTTTGTGTTTGTACATTTCCAGGCAGTGGCGTTGCTGGATTTTGATGGAATTGACCACTACTTTCGAGCTGCTAATCACTGTCACTTAATTGGAACAGAATATCCCCTTTTATCTGTGACCTTTGGATCCTCTTGGAGATCTTAGGACTTCCTTAGATTTCCTTGGATTTTCTTGAAAGCTTTTGAATATTTACCGGACCTACTTGGATAGTTTCAGATCTTCTTGTGTTACCTCGAGTCTCCTTGGATGTTTTTAGATCGCGGGGATTCGCTTCATATCACACCCAGTAGAAAATCTTCTTGAATTATCGCAGACTTCTTCTATTTAGATTGGATCAAGTCCCTTCACAATGGAATAAAAAGTTTCGTTGAAACCCGCGAATATCGGTGAATTGTCTTGGATCTCCTTGCATTACCTCCGTTCACCTTGAATTGCCCCTTAACCTTGAATCACGTCAGATTGCCTCTGATCTCACTGGATTCCCTTGGATCTCTATGGTCTACCTTGGATTAGCTTGGATCACCTCGAGTTGCCACTGAACCTTGGATCTCATTGGATTGCCTCATATATCCATAGATTGCCTCGGACCATCTTGGATTCCCTCGGATTACCTTGCACTGCCTCCGAAAATCGGATCTAGTCGGATTATATCGGATCTCCTTGGATTGCCTTGAATTTCCTTGAACTGCCTCAGATATACTTGAATTGCCTCGGATCACCTTGAGTTACCATTTGAATCGCCTACGAACCTCAGATCTTTCTGGATTGCCTGGAATCTCCTTGATGTACCTCGGATCTCTTTGAATTACCTCGAATCATATCTATCCACCTCTAATCTCATTGGATTGCTTCCGCTCTTCTTCGATTGCCACGGATCACCTTGGAAAGATACTGAACTGGATCTAGTCGGATTGCCTCGGATTTCCTTGGACTGTATCGGATCTCCATTGATTGCCTTTTTCCTCCTTGTATTACCAGGATCACATTGAAGTGCTTTTTGAACCATGGATCTCTTCGGATTGCCTCGAATCTCCTAGGATTGCCTCGCATCTCCATGGATTGTCTTCTTAAATCTCACTGGATTGCCTTGGATCTCCATG